GAATTTTAACCGCATAGGAATTTTTGAGGTGGACCCACTCGTCATTGATTTGATCAGTGAGGGCATTTATATGGGGCAAGATCGTATAAATTGTCGAAATCACCAGTGGGGGTTTTGTGAGAAAGATTGATTTATCTGAAGTGATCGAATCTCATCTGCCAGCAGAAACTATTCATGAAGTTGGTGAATTAATCCGTAATGAGAACACTTCATCATTAAGGACATTCAGAGTCCAAATAGGGATTTATTAACTATCCCTTTTGTAATAATCAGGATTATCGCCTAAGAATATACCCACATGTAAGTATTTCACAGAACTTCTGTTACATGGGTTATCCGCAATGTACTAAGGTATATTTTCTTGAGGAACCTCCCATTTATAGCTCATGCAGCCGGGCGCGTTCCTGTGGTAATAAGACGGTATCGCCATTTGAATAGGCTATCTCTACTACAAACAGTTCCCTCCCACTTTGGATTCGAATTACGCTTTCTTCTTGATATAAGGATCATTGGCCGTCGGACGGCTAAAACCAAGTCTCCTTCTTTAAAACTCCATTGTCGAACATCAATGTGCTGTTTGTTAAGCTTCTAAGCGCTTTTCGTCGAGCATCTTAAGTTCTTCGAGATGTTTCTGATGTTGTTCTTTGGTTGTCAACTCTGTTGCGAAAGTGATCCGAAGAGATGGAATCTGGATTTCTAACAAAAGAATGGCTTCACACACGTATACTAAAGAATATGGGGTCACTCCCGTCAGCATGCAGACCATGGTACAATAGGCCCATAGGGCTTCGCCAAACTTATCATCCTAATCTTGTTTATTAGTCTTCACGAGTTTTGATAAAAGTTTTATGATAGTCTTGTTAAAGGCCTCAACCAATCCGTTCGCTGTGGGATTGTAAGCTGTCGACGAGACGTCTTGAATTCTGAACTTCTTGTAAAACTTGATGAAGGCATTACTGACAAACTAGGGGCCGTTGTCATGTATGATTTGCCTTGGGACACCATATTGGTAGATAATATGGTGCTTGATAAACGCAATGACATTGCTCGTCTTCACTTCTTTGAGCGGAATTACTTCAGACCATTTGGAGAAATAATCGGTAATTGCTAGGATGAATCGGTCACCTTTGATGGACGGGGGAAAAATAGGACCAACAACATCCATTCCCCAAGTTTCGAATGGCCATGACGTAGCCAAAGGGTGCAGATGCTCCAGGGGTTGGCGCATATAATTCGTGTGTACTTGACACGCATGACACTTCCGGGCCTACGCATCTGCGTCGTTTATCATGGTGGGCCAGAAATATCTCATCCTTCTGATGCGGTCATAAACTTTGGGGCCAGGTTGGTGCGCGCCACAAACTCCTTCGTGTGTTTCCCTAAGGACCTCTTCAGCTTCTTTAGTTGATAGGCAACGTAGTAATACGCCATCGTACCGTTGACGATATAGCATATAACTCTTCGTGTTATAGTAGAACCTCGGTGCTCTCCGTTAGATTGAATCTCTTTCCTTCACGTCCTCTGGTAAAATCGCATGCAGGACATAATCTATGATAGGGAAACGCCAGTATCGGGGCTCGAACTCAACTTGGACTGAATGCACTTCTTTAATATCCTCTTCTTCATTGTCCATATCGTAGATTAGTACGAAGAGCTGGTGAGTTCTTATTGTGATAAATTGTTCTGTTTCGGGAGGTTGTGCCAGAAATAATGCTAATGCCAATAGCGCATCCGCATATGCGTTTTGTAGACGTGGAACGTACTCGATGAAGAGTCCTTCAAACAATTATGCCATCTCAATGAACATTTTATCGTACGGTATCAAATCCTGACTTCTAACCTCATACACTCCTTGAACCTATCAAACTATCAGTTAGGAGTCGCCGAATGCTTCGAGATATTCAACCCCCAGTTCTTTAG